GGGGGAATATGTGGGGAAAGGATTAGTCTCAATCAGGAAGAGAAGGGGGAATATGTCTTTAAGCGGGTTTGGCCTAGCCACAAGTGAAACCGAAAGAGGACGTACTGACCTGCACGAGGGCGGAAGCGAATCCGAGAGGTGAAGTGGGGCAGGTCGTGAAGGAGAGATCTCCAAATCCCCGAGCAGTTTGGACCAACCCTATCGGCAGGAAGCCAGGAGTCGTTTTGGCATCAATATTTGTGTCTCACTACATCCTACCATAGGTGATTCTCTTGCATGGCAAAACGCCTACCACCATTTGCCGAGCAGGCTAAGTTATTGGCTCTAAGATTATGAATTCCCAATCCCTCTTGTGATTTGGGGAAGCACACTTTGGCCCAGGAAATGAGATGGAATCCTCTTCCCCCTCTCCCGCCAAGAGAATATTCCTCATAATTTGTCTTAGCTATTCGGCCATAGAGGCTGGCATGAGAAATAGACACATCTGAAATATGGGGATGTTGGAGAGGACTGCCTTGATGAGGGTAAGCCACCTGCCGAATAGGTATCTTCCCTTCCAATCCGTGGTCTAAGCTCCATTTTATCTACAATGTGACTCTATTTGAGAGGCCTTAGTTTTACCAACACAAAGAGACATAGGTGGCGGGCAGTTGTTCCATTGTGCAACCCAATATATCAGCAAGGGGGGAGAGTGATTCAAACAACAACTCGACACCCATTATTTCAGTTTTTGGTCATGTTGACCCTGAACCCCATGCCGATCTCAAAGCACTGGAGAAACATCCTCAGATACTCCAATTGGATAAGGTTAGCATCGTAGAAAATAAGGGTATCGTCAGCATATTGAAGATGGGATTTTTCTGGTCCATTTCTGCCAACCTTGAACCCCCTGAGGAGGTCACTTTGGTATATGCCCGAGATCAACCTGCTGAAAACCTCGACAACTATCGCGAAGAGGAAGGGGGATAGTGGGTCTCCATGCCTGAGATCCCTATAAGAAGGGAAGAAACCGTAAGAGAGCCATTGATAAGCATCGAGTAGGATGGATTAGAAATGCAAGCTCTAATCCAAGATTGTTAACGACGTTTGAAACCCATTCTAGATAAAGTACAATCTAGGATGTCCCATCGACATGGTTGTACATCTTCTCCCAATAAAGTTTGATGATCACCCCCGAGGATTGGGCCATATGACATGAGTGAATGCATTCATGTGCCACAAGGGCACCAACAAGGATTTGCCGATCTTCTACAAAGGCTCTTTGTGTAGGGGGGATCACCCAGCCCAAGACACCTCTCAGTCCAATGGCAAGGACCTTGGACAAGATCTTATAAGAACTATTGATGAGACTTATGGGCCTAAAATCTCTGAGTTCCTCGGCAGCTTCTTTTTTTGGGATTAGGGCAATGAATGTGGAATTCATGGCTTTCTTAATGATCCCTCTCTCATGAAACTCATTGAAATGTCAAGGCGCATGGTCTCCTAGAATTGATTGAAGATGGTTACTGAGTAGCCATGGCCCAAGACCCCGATCCTGACAGAGATCTTTGATAGCAACAAGGATTCTCCTCTTCAATGAAGGCCCTTTCAAGCCAAATGGCCTGGTTGGGGGGAATATGGTTGAAAGATAGGCTGGCCATGAAAGGTCTAGGGCCTTGAGGAGCAGAAGAGACAAACTTGAAATACTTGACAATTGCCTCCTCGACTTGTAAGGGTTGATCAAAAAGTTGGTCTCCGACCTTGATTTGGGAGATATAGTTGTCCCTCTTATGACAATTGGGAATCTTATGAAAGAATGTCATGTTTGAGTCCCCAAATTTGAGCCATTTGACTCTAGAGCGCTGATACTAGAAAATCTCTTCATTGCCAAGAGTAATCTGGGATCGAACTTAGCTTGTCCCCTTAAGGAAATTTCAGAGGGGTTAACAGGTGAGTCTCTTCTAGAGAGTCCCAGGAGCGAATATGCTCAAGATGGGCTTCTTTCTGCTCACTGGAATTCCCTAGGAGATGGCGAGCCCAATCTTTGAGGAGTGGTTTGAGAAGTTGGAGTTTTCTCTGGCGTCGGAAGCCTGCCCAACCACAAACCTGAGAAGTGGTGGACAACAACCAGGAGTGGAAGAGAGATTTGAAGGTGGGCTCTTCGAACCAAGAAAATTCAAATCTAAAAGGTCTAAGCCCTCCTAGGGGGGGGGATTGGTGTCCAGAAGGATAGGACAATGGTTGGAGGTGGGTTTAGGGTGAGCCATTGAGCGGGGGCGAGGAAGGGAGGAGTCCCATTCAGGGGAGAGAGAGTATCTATCGAGTTTGGAGAGTGTGGGGCTCGGCGCATGGTCCGATTAAGTAAACTGGGTGCCTTTAAGCGGGATATCGATGAGATGGTGCCTCGACACAAAGTTGGAAAAGGGCATCATAGCTTGAGAAATCCAAGGGCTGGTATTGTGCTCAAAGGACCAGCACGTGACATTAAAATCCTTGCCAATGCACCAGAGGGAGGGTGGTCGGCGTTCCCATTGGGTCCATACACTGCTATGGATATCCAGTGTAGGCCATCAGAGACCCTGGAGAGGACCACAGAGATGGAAAAGAGACCTCTTTGGGAACAGATAAGGGCATGGATGATGGGGTCCCATATAACCCAGATCCCCCTCGAAGGCCCCCCTGGGCTCAAGGGACACCCATTGGCATGGGCGGGAGCCCCAAACTTGTCGGACCAGAGGGAGGGGGGGTGAAGGAGTATGGTCTTGAACAAGGTCAGGACTGAAGCAGAGTATTTCTTGCAAAAATCGAGCATAGTCCTACGCTTGATTGTGTCCCAAGTCCCCGGATGTTCCAAGTCAATATTTTCATGAGGAAAGGGAGATAGAGGGAGGCACCCTTCTTGAAGAGCTCTGAAGAGACAAGGAAGAAGATGGATGAGGAGGAGAGAGGGGATTTGACGATCATAGTTGATGCTGCATTTGAGCTTGGAGAGTTCTCTTTGGCCTTTTTTTACTCACTTTGAACCTGGTCTGAGCATCCACAATAACAAAGGAGTGGAATGGCCTCCTCTGGTCCATCATAGTCAAATTTCATGACCCTCAAGACTTGGCGCATGTTCCCATGTGCCTTGT